AGCGATTTGAAAGAAAGAAACGTACCAGCAAGGTATAAGGGTGTCAGAAGTAAACCTCTTCAACTGCCCCTATCGGAAAGAGCCGTTTATCAGAGAAACGAACAAGTGGTATGACAAGCCTGGAAGGAATGGAGTTTTATGGGTCCATTCTTGCTGTTTTATCGTATAGCTAAGCTATTCGATATTTTGGAACTTCGACATCACTACTTCATCAGAAAAAAAATAGGCTGCGTTCACACTTGCGGCACCATCCACAAGCGTCTACCAGTGACTACTAGTATTCTCAGCGCCTGAGAGCGCGTGGAACTGCGGTGTGCGCTACGATTGCGTGATGTACAATTACACTACATCCTACATTAATTTGCACAATTCTGTGCCTCAGCAGTTGCACGGTCCGGTTGCATACGCCGCAGTTTTACGACGCCTAATCCAGCTGTTTGCTACCCTTCTACTTCCTACTCTACACTCTACTTCCTCACACTCTTCCCTCCCGTCGCTGGTGAACGCTGGTGGACGCTGGTAGACGCTAGTATCTCTAGTTCCCTAGTCGCTGACGCTGCCGGACACTCGGAACGCTATTGGACGCTGGTAGACGCTTGGACGCTGCAAAGAATGAACGCAGTCTCATTTGCTTCACGACTATAGGTTGGGTGCCAGTGTAGTTAGGACGATACAAAAGATAGCATGGCATTAGGATCAAGCAGTGCTACTGATGAAACTGAAAGAGATCTGCTCGAGTGTAACAGCAAAGGCAGTGCATAGCCCTAACAAAGGTTACTTTCAGGACATAGAGGATTTTTCCGAAATGGGTTCACTGCGTCATGTAGAGGTCCATGTGAGCGCGAACAATGGGTCCTGCTTTTCGGAGCCGGGCGGTGTCAGAAATGCCAAAAACGAATAAACTAATGGCCAAGGTTCAATTCCCTATGGTGGCGAAAATTTAATTTCTACAACTTCCACTTCTTTGCGTTCCGCTCGCCTCCTTACGTACCATCGTCTATGAGTTGATGAATCGCCCAGATCGAACTTTCTGTTCGACGAAAAAACATATTCAAAATCCGAAGCTCAAATCCTACCTTGACACTGCCAAGAAAAGCAAACTCAAAATACATGCTCATAATCTCAAAAGATGGGGTCAATACTGTGAGCAGCAATGTACAAGGTAATACACTTTCTATCACTACCACTCACATATTTCCTACTTCTTTACTTAAAATATAGCCAAAAACGTCGTTCCGCACCGTCAGTACTGACTCACGGAAATTTTTTTCTTCGACCACTCGCTCGAGCATGAGAGCTGCTGAGGCTAAATAAAGGAGCTGCATAAGGATGATGCCTCATACCAGACGATCTTCGACGACGAAAATGCTTCAAAGCTTGAGCTCAATCTTGAAGACGAAATGAGGTCCTAGATGTTCATGCCAACTTGAGGTTGCTGCAACTCGTGAACGGGTACACGACAAGAGAATCGTAACTCGCCGCGCAGTGGGACGTCGCGTGCGACGTCGCGCCCGCCAATGACGACGATTCTAGATCGTACTGGTCAAGAATAGACAACGTATGACCAAAAACAGCCATAAATGTTTCCTATATCCCAGGCTACGATGCTCCAGTCGAAGTGGTAACGCAAGTTAAGAAAACGTCGCGCCCATCGCCGCGTTCGACGAAGCGGCAGATTACGATTCTTTTGTCCATCTCCCACTCGTGAACAATATTGCACTAAGGATCTACTTTCTAATTCCTGAAGAAGGCAGCAGCGAGATCCGAAGCAAGTCCTCGATGAGAGGGAAAAATTTGTTCGCACAGCCTGCCTTCGATCTTCCAACCTCAGGGCCCAAAATGTACTTTGCAGGCCAGAGGCAAAGAAAGAGCAAGCCGTTCGTTCACAAGAGCTTGAGCATCCCATGTCAATCACCACTGTGGATGAGTGCTGGATCCTCGATGAGTCACACTGCCACAAAAGCAGGTTCGAAGTCCATAGTATGAGGATTATGCCCCCATTCTCGGGATTGGCAAGGTATACTATTTTGAAAACTGCTCCCATGCAAGCAGATAATAAGTGTCTATGCCTACGTGGAGAAGGTCTCGGTTACCTGAAGCGTGCGAAAGAAAAATTCAAATTAAGTCGGCTGTGACATTTTCTAGGACCAGTCGGATCCCCGGCTAACGCCGGGCTCTCCTCCTTCTGTGGCATGACCCGGCTTCGCCGGGCCATGCGCATTTGCCGCGTGCTGAGTTACGAATCGCTGATCAACCTAACTGTTCGAAGGAATGTTCTGCATCAGCCAAGAACTGAAAAGTAGCGCCCGTCCGTCAAAACGCAGAAGCAGCAGGAGCGCCCGCTGCATCACAGAAGGGGAGAGCCGGCCTTAGCCAGCGATCCGACTGGTACGTTCACAACCTACATGGAAATATTGCAGCCTGTTAGGTTAGCCGCCGAAGGAGCCTATGATTTATGCATTCTGTCGTCTTAAAGCGTCTTGCTTTGGAATGCACTCCCGCATTCAGCAGTGGAACCCTTTAAATGGCCCTCACTAAGGTTGTTGATGGAAGATAATTGTGGTAAGAGTGTGATTAGTCAATTGCTGCTGTTCATAACATCTCTGTAAACAAACCCCATGCATTTGGAATAGAGCTAGCTTAGCGGTCGTACATGATGTCGTTACTAATAAGCAGTGAGGAATGAGTTCTGTTGGAATCATTGAGATCGTTATACTTGAGTCATATCATTGTTGTTGTGAGCGGTGAAGCGGATTTTCCCATGTTACCTTGTCACTTTGAGCTCCTATCATTCCCGTCACCCGATAATAACACTGCTGCCCATATCACTCTATATCACCTCTCGAATCCAAGGTCCCACCATTGCTGTAACCTGCGTTACAAAATTGGTGACCCTCCCCTTCCGAGGCTCCTTATCGGATCTTATCAATTGTTATCACTTTTTGCCACCCGTCAATAATGTTCCCGTCCCACACCCTATATCACCTCTCGGATCCAAGGTCCCGCAGCTGCTGCTTTTTGCGCTAGATTTCGGTCACCCTCCCTTCTAAGGCCCTTATCGAATCTTATCAGGTGTTATCAGCTTCTGTCACCCACCAAATATGTTCCCGTCCTGCCGTGCATATCACTTCTTGAAATCACGGTCCCGCAGCTGCTGCAACTTGCGCTACGATTTCGGTCACCCTCCCCTTCTAAGGCCCCTTATCGAATCTTATCAACTGATATCACTTCCTGTCAATAGTGTTCCCGTCACACCCTCTACATCACTTCTTGAAAACCAATGTCTCATCACTATTGGGACCGGCGCGTATGAATTCGCTGACAAACGGACAGACGGACGACAGACAGACAGACACACACACACGACATAGCGGATTACATTTTCTAGGATCATATTGGAGCCCATGTTACAAGGATGACTCTTCATCATCCGTAAAAAAATTATGCAAGACTACTCTTTCACATCATCCGTACCATGGATTTCTACCCAAGGATTTCCGCATTGGAACATGAGTTTTTAGGGTATGCCGCCGTCGAGGATCTACGGGGGTGTCAAATTTTTCTAGAGAAAAAATCTTATCGATTGTTGACTTTTCTCGGTATTCCCCCTTTCAATGCACTGTGCACCCCTTCCTCACCCATTTTTTTTTCAACGGGTAATGCTTAGGAATTTTAGGCCCAAAATTTCTCCCCTACAGCAGAACGTGCTCTTGTTTGGTAAAATAGTGCCGAGACGCGGAAGAGTTAGGCTGCTCATACTTTGCATCAGCGTCTACCAGCGTTCAGCGCCAGAGACTAGTAAATATAGATATCGATCTAAGGAACAGAGTCTACCAGCACCCGCTAGCATCCACCAGCGACTAGGAAAGTATGGATATCGTTATGGATATCAAACGCCAGCGTCTACTAGCGTCAGCCAGCGACCACCGGCGCCTTGAGGGACTAGAGAATTATAGCTATCAATCTGCGAACGCCAGCGTCCATCAGCGAACATGAGCAAAACTGCACACGAAAACGCTGCTGTATCCTAATGGACACTGGCGTTCGCTAGATCGACATCTATACTTTCCTAGTCACTAGCGCTCGGCTTATTCTCGGAACGCTGAAGAGTGACTAAAGGATGACCTAATTAGGCGCTACAGTGCTGGCTCAGCCAAGTGCACATAACGGGCCAATGATTCCTCTGTGACAGAAGCAGCTTCGAATGGGGGCCATAACAGACGTGCCAACTTAGCCCTGACTCCCCTCCACCATGGCCCAAAAGTTCTTTCGGGAGTCATCACCACCAAGTTTCGCAGTGAATACCACAGATTCGTTCATTTCAGATATTTAATACATCAAGTTAGTGAATGACATAAATGAGACAATCTAATGAAACTGCACTAATTGTAAGATCAAACAACGATTGTACACATTTAAAAGTCATTCTGAATGCTAAGCGAAATTGAATGAGATTAAAAAGAATTCAGGTATTTACAAGGTGATATAATTGCTTCCCAGTTACGTCAATTGATCATGTGTGTTCTAATATTTTGAAGCACTAATGGTAAGCCGTCATTTTAAATGAGATCCCAGTTACCATTATGTATAGATCAAAGAATAACTAATAGTGACAGCTTCGTTAGAGTGTACAGGCAGTATATTAAGGAAAATAATGATGATTTAAGAGTAATAGCTTCCATTATTGTGACCAAACTAACAAATCGAGCACTAACAATTACCATTACATAAATATATGTGTAAGTGCTCATGGAGATAGTGAAATCCATATTAGTGACAAAGCTACTTGGCAAGCGCCTGCGCGACATTTGGTCCTGTGGAGATATAAATGTCTTCATAAGGTGCATGCTGTTCAACATTAATCGCTTGCGACTTCTTCAAGACCAACAACGTGTAGAACTTCTGCGCAGCAGTCTTCCGAGTGGCTCCCTTTGTGAGAAGATCGTTGAGCGTGATCTGAATAACAGAACTTGTTTCGGTTTTGACCAAATCCCTCACGCAATTTTCATTGCTTCCCTAAGGTTATATTCAGATAATAAGTGTTGCAAGAGTCACGCTCACTTATACACCATGCATTCTCAAGACCCCATAAATAATGTATAACATTCAGTTTGGTATTTCTGCAATACTTTAACGGCTCATACCGATAGAGAGGTCCCCTTAGGCTTTCGTCATACTTTTGCGTCACCGTCTACCAGCATTCACTACCGTCCACCAGCGTCCAGAGCGTACGCCAGCGACAGCGACTAGGAAAGTAGTATAGATATCGAACAGCGAATGCGAGTGTCCATCAGCGCCCAATCGAGCAGCGTTTCGCGGGCACTTTTGAACTTCAACAAAACTTCTTGCGAAAACGCTGCTGGTGGACGCTGGTCTTTGCTAGATCGATAACTATGCTCGTTTCATCCCGCTTTAGATCATGTGTCGTTTTTGTTAGAGCCGATATCTATGCTTTCCTTGCGGCTGCTGCACGTATGCCACGAGACCCCTGGTGAACGCGTGACGAAAAGTAATGAAGCGCGAATATCTATTTGTAACTGTCTACCTTCAACACGAAGCCGTATGAGCTAATTTACGCACTATTTCCCATCACTGTCTTAAGGAACCCACACAGGAAAAGCGTTTGTCCTATAATTTCTTCTCTGAATTTCAATTAGCCTTCACTGCAAGACACCCCCAAAAATGGTAGCAAAGTGTCAGAAATGAGGATGATGATTGTGCGTGGTTTAGAAAACCCAACGATCAAGCCACTAATACAAGCCAAAACTAATAAGCAAGACTTATTCACAATTATTCAATTGTTAGCTCACCTGCTTCTCGCCAGTCGATACGAAGTTTAGTCACGATTTTGTGTTTAGAACATTTCTGTGTGCTTAGACAGCGGTACGCATCCTTATCTGTCAGACCTCCATAGCTTCGCTGCTTCTTCAAGCAGGTCGAGCGCCTTCAAGCACAAAATTGTCAGGATTGGGCAAAACCCATCTGTCCACTCTCAACCTTCTCATGTCAATATGAAATAAAAGGAAATCGGCCAATTATCAATAAGAAATGCGTACCTCCATACTACGCTTCCTTTTTTCGCTCGGTGGATAGAAGCCATCATCAACATCTTTCAGCGGCGAACCTTCCGGCGAAGGACGCAAATCCGCAACCACGGTGGTGGGTGATTCAGCGCCGATTGGTTCAAAAGGCACAGGACCGATGTCTTCGTAATCTTCTCCATAGGTCGATTCCTGTAATGTTGGGATATTAACAAGTGGTACAACGAAACTCAAGGATGGAGAATCCAGATTATTCATAAAAGTGTATGTACAAATGAAGGGTATAAGGTAAACTGGCACCACAGTCCTAATGTTCACTCGCAAGCTTGAATACATTTCTCGGTATGGATGCAACAACTAGATATTTTTATTCGATTACTAAAGCACTAGCCGGTATATACGTGGGGTGTTCAATGTATTCTCCGTATACGTACGAAGGAAAAGGCAGAAAATGCTAAAACTTATTTTTCAATGTAGTCTTCCATAACCTCAAAACACTTGTTTGCTGGGGAACTAACTTTTCAACACCCTCTGAAAATATTTTTCCTCCTTGTCCCCAAAATAAGCGTTAATTGCCGCCTTCAGCTCTTCATCGTCAGAATACGCTTTCCACGAAGATCTTTTTCTAGGTTGGGGAACAAGAAGAGAGCAGTATTTTCTCAGTTTTCTTTTCATTTTTCTCATATTTGTCAGTAATCATTTCCTCAACATTGTCGCATCAGTCATTCTGGTCTTCTTTCACCAAGGATAACTAGAATAGCATTGATGATAACTAAATGAAATTTTGTATTTATACCCTCAGGGAGTGTCGTTACCTACTGAAATGATTTGAATTCCTTTGTCATTGCTACATAAGTTAAGTACTTAAGTTACACCGATACCGAGAGCACTTTGAACGGCCCTCGTAGGCAATGCAGTGGGAACCTATCTTATTCTGTATGCAGGCCCTGACTATCACTACCCTCCCGCAGTTCTGAGTGACGAACGTGGCACACTTCTGCAGCTGCGGACCCGTTCATCACTCACAAGGGTAAGGATAATGGTGGGTGAGCACCCAGAGGGTAAAGCAGGGTGAAGTTCTAGCAAAGGTAAAGCAGACACGATTTTCAAATTCTCGGTCATAGCTAAGGCAGCGTTCAGACTTCGCGACGGCAGCCCTCCGGTCGCGCGATCGACGCAGCTAAAACATGCGCGATCGATTGCGCAGAACGCGTGATTGAAGCGATGCCGTCGCGAAGTCTGAACGCAGCCTAAAGATTCGAAACAGGTGTGGCAAAGC